CTACTGATGTCCATGGGCGGCTCAGTTATACAGCATGCTGATGCACGTATCCGATGAGCAGTCTTATTTTGCGGTGAGCGGGCTCCCGGTCTAAGGCCGATCTAAGGTATTCCTTTACATTGGACTTTACAGGCTGTATTTATTATGTTTGCACTTTATTATGTGTCACTATCATGCAATATGTCATCTTTATGCAGTGTGAAACTGGCGGGAATGTGACGCCAATGATGACGTCGTGGGGTCAGACTGGGTACTTGTGATTGGTTGTGTTGATTAGGGTTGGTGCTACATATCAGTCACCTCTTGTGCACTTACACTGTATGCTTTGCCTGATGAAGGGGATCCTCTGTGGCCCCGAAATGTTCGTTGCTATCTTTTGTCATGCTGCACGTCAATAAATAGACGTTTGCTTGCCAATTTGGAGTGCCGGTGTCTCTGTTCCTCTTCCACCCAATCACACACAAGCTTCCAAAGCTCTGATGAGGGGGGGTAGGTGCAATCCCCGAAACACATTGGCTGTTACATCTTGTGTGATCTCAACAAAGGACTAATACACTTATATCTTTAGACTCTATGAAAATTGGTGTGGCACTCACCTTGGGTTCCTTGACATTCTAGTTTTCTGAACTAGACACACGTGCCAACACAGCTTGGTCAAGACTGTGACTGGAGACTAGTATAGGAACAGTAGCATACTGATCATTTATGAGCTTGCCCCTCCAATTAGAAAGTTGTATTTAGCAAACTCACAGCATTGTGTCATGTTGAAAGGCTGACTGGCTAACAATGATTCCGTCTCTGTCTGAATGCTGATGTGTGGGGATTTGGCAAAAAGGCAAATTATGGGAAAATGTATTAAAATACATTTAAATATCTTTCAAGAATGCATACCTGAATTAAAGGGGGGTGTCTATTATATCTGCCTACACTTAATTTTAACAATGGGTGAATGATCTGACTTTTGAAGAATTAACCTTACCCTGCTGCGCATATCTAATTCAACGCCAAACACCATTGGTCCGCTCTTAGTATAGAGAAACAATAATGTATTGCTGTAAAATTCCAATCCAGCCTTTTACTGGGCCACCCCAGTTATTTGTTCCTACTAAAATTACAGCTATTGAACATGTATATATATGTTTTTAGACTGCTTGTAGACTATGACTTTATGTTTGAAATTAGAAAGAATAGTCAAAAAGGCAACCAATCCCTTTTTTCCTATACTACAAATGGAGAATACGACTGGCTGCTGCGGGGGAACACAGATTGTTTGTGATCTTCCTTCCATCAGGCTTATAAATAAGCCCAATTTAGGATTTTAACTAGAACTGTGATGTACCCTAAAGCTGTTTTCCTTTTTCTACAGAATACTTATAATGATCAATGCTCGGTGTCCTGTATAATGCGATAAGTGTTCTGAAATCTTCACAACTACTGATGTGCTAATAGCAACACTGGCAGCTCTAGAAATTAGCTCTGACAAGCCCACCCAAATGGATCATCAAAGACAAAGTAAATCAATTCCTTTTCATCATTGTAGAAAGCCAGGTTTATGTGATAAAATCAGGACTGCTGACACACTCCAACACAACCTTTGTCAACCTTAGGGGTCACATGTGAATGCACAATGGGGGAACAAAAGCTCCTTAAAGTGGAAGTAACCCTCGAAAATCAACAGAGGTTTTTTTTGCAGAATAGGCACTTCAAGTCTCTTCTGCCAAAAACTATTTGTTTCAAGGCTCTGCACTTTTATCAAGCAGACTTTGTATTATGAAGTATACCTCATAGAACCCCTACATTGCTATGCTACTCAGTGAGTTCTGCATGCATTCACCTCTGTTTTTAAGAAATAAACAGTTTGTATGTACTGCACAATGATGGAGTTCTCAAACTATTTGTTTTATTATACAGCTACCTACTTTGCAGCACACCTGACCTGATTATTTATGTGTATTCCTGGGTCCTTATCATTGTACGTGATGTTTGCCATTTTTTTCTCAATATGATGAAAAGGATGTTAGATAGAAAGAAACTGCGCTAGGAATCAAATAACACTCTAAGAGCAGCTGTGCTTAATAGGTGAGTACACCCAAAATAGGAAAAAAGAAAATAGCACTGACCTTCAAACTCGAAAATTATATTCCTAAAATGTGAAAAAAATTGTATAAAATGTGAAATTGTCACAAAGGGATATGCAAATTTGTGTCATACACACCACCTGTGTTGCACAATGCCTGTGCTGATGATAGTAAAAAAAAAAACAAAAAAAAACGTGCTAGTACATCTCATAAAAGGTGTACATATAGAAAATCCTGTGTTGAATCTCACAAGTGATGTATAACTCCCTCTTAATCTACATAACCATGTGTGAAGTCCATTACTTCTGGATACAATAAAGTCCTTCTATGTGAGGATATATCTTCCTGCTTTTATAGTCAACACCAACGTCCGTGAATGTAAAAACAATTAGTGCTTTGCTGATATATATAGAAACAAATCCTCTCCTTTGTTTTTAATCCGACAATAAATTGGGGTAGATTCCTCCCAACTATGGCTTATCTTTCCAAAATCGTGTAAAACTATTCCTCCATCTTCCACCTTCTCTTGTGCTCAGAGAGAGAAAAAAAGGCTTCCCATAGTGAAGTATGTCAGAATAAATGTATTTAAACGATTAAAATGAACTTACAGTTAAAATAAGGCAATTGCGTATGGATTGTGTCCACTGGAGCTCCTGTCTCTATGATCGTAATGCTCGCATAGATCCGCCCACCTGATGCATTTCGTCACTATTGACTTCCTCTGAGGCGACGGTATGCAGACCGTCGCCTCAGAGGAAGTCAGAGGCTATTTTCTTTTTTTCATGATGAAAAGGATGAAAGGAATCACCAGCACTCACAGGATGCGTATTTCTTGTTCATTTTGTATTGAACATGCATCACGTAGCCCACGTTTCGGGGCAACGTAGGGTCACTTCCTCAGGTCGACTTAGTGGTGCCATCCGTGGCATCACTTCGGGCATTTCCATTTGAAAAGAGAAAGGTCTACATCGCCGTATGGAATGCAGGTGACACACTACAACACTTGTCATTTTTTTCTGACAATCAGCTCAAGTAAATGTACATTACATAATTTCTTTCTTTCATTCATTAAAGGGTATCTATGATCAAAACAAATACAAATAAATATGTATTTCTATTCCTATGTAGTTCTATTGCACTCCTAATAACCATATCGATCAAGAAGTTTGTAAACTTGCTTACTGAACATGCCCACGGAATGCACTTCCTCAATGCAGTGACACAATTTCACTCAGCCCTATGAATATCCAATTCTGAGTGTCACTACTCTAACTAAGCCTGCCATCTGAACTACAACTCAACGTCTGCACTTGCCACAATGTATCATTATCATTGCTTGCTGGAAGCAATGCCTGATGGGATATTTACTCCTGAGAAATCGAGACACGGTAGGGAAAGAGATGCAAAGCACACTGGGAATACAGGAAGTTGTTGAAAGTGATGGGCAGACAGAAGGCAGCACCCACTACATAAAATGTTTCTTTTTTCAAGCAAGCTTTGATTGCATTATCAAAAACAACTCCAGTATATGAGGCGATAATCCACTGAGACAAGTATGGATCCAATTTGGGGAGTGAGGATCTATTTATCTCCCAGCTCCCAAACAGAAGCAGTGGAACCACAGGGATATATAGGATAGAGGCTCACTTCTCTACACTACGTTCTTCTTTATAATCAATTGTTTCTCAATATGTCCATTGTAAAATGTGGTGATCACCACCATTAATCGTTCTTAACACATATCTATCGGCGTTCCAAATCGTGTGTAGTATCTTACTATTTTCCCTCCTTCCGTGTCTCGTCCACTTTCTTTCAACCGCAATTGTGTTCCTGCTCCATGCTCCTTTGGAACCCCGATAGATGTGTGTTACGAATGATTACTGGTGGTGATCACCACATTTTACAATGGATAGATTGAGAAACAATTGAGGATGAAGAAGAAAATAGAGAAGTGAGCCTCTATCCTATATATCCCTGTGGTCCCACCGCTTCTGTTTGGGAGGTGGAAGATGAATAGATCCCCACTCCCCGTAGTGTATCCATACTTGTCTCAGAAGATTATCGCATCATATTCCCTGAGGAAGCGCATCAGAAAAACGCCTTGAAAGTCAACAAACATCTGCCACAGTGGAGAAAGATCATAAAAAGAATATATCCACAAAAATGGACTGCATTATACCAAAATGAAATCAGTATTATGGATGTTAATGATTACCATACATATTGTATATGTGGCAGCGGCAGGCAGAACTGAGGGGAATTATTTTTGCAAATACTGTTTTTAATGTTGCTTATGGATTTTAACAAAGTGTGACAATAAATGTAAAACTTTTTAAAGAACTTGGGAGTCTGACGCCTCATAAAACCCCAAAATACTAAGGTACATGGTAATTGAATTATGAGAAGGGGTGAGGTCTTGGAAAACACCTGGAGGAATCAGCCCTGCTCGAGTTAGGTTTAATGCCATATTTATATATAACAAGTGTTGGCAGCTGCTAGAGCAACACTTAGCAGGTAAGAATTATTCCAGTAGTGAGCGTGCCCCTTGATGTCTACTATAGTAATATTTTTTTACTGTTTCTCTGAAAGTGAAAAAGCCTTTAAATTATGCAATCAAAATAAACTGCAAGCTGAAGGACAAAGCTGTCTAAATTAAGGGTTTAGTGCTCTAGACAGTGTAAAAACCATTGAATTTATATTATATTATTACTATACAGGATTTATATAGCACCAACAGTTTTCACAGCGCTTTACAATATAAGGAAGACATTGCAGTTGCAATACAAATCAAGACAAGATGGCAAGGAGAAAATGACTTTTATCAAGCAGACTTTGAGGGCTTACTTTTATCAAAAAGTTGAGCTTTTCAACCCACTTACAGTCAGCATTAGACAATTAGGTATCGCCTGCATGCATGACACATTGCAAGCTTGTGTTCTACCATTATCTGCTCAGAGTGTCTCTCTGCATTAAATCAGAGGCTTGTTTCCTTAAAAGAGACCAGGATTCTGCAATCTGTTTTCTCCGCTCTGGTAGAGCCTGTAACCTGATAAAAAGAAAATAAGAGATGCTATACATTATTACACAGGATTTATATAGTGCCAACAGTTTGCTCAGCACCTTACAATATAAGGAAGACATTACAGTCACAGTACAATTCAAGACAAGATGGTAAGGAGGACTTTTATACATTAAAGGTTTTATAAATGTATCTGTCTTGGGAGAAGTAGAATAACCTTCTATCCTCTGTCATGTCTTTCAAACTATCTGGAACACTGACAAAGACCTGCCCAGCTGTGGCTATGTTTGTCTTTACAGCCAAGCTAACCCTGTCATTGACCAAAGTACATTTTTAATGGAAATGAAAGCAGACAGCGGTTGACACAGGACTGCAATCTGACAGGGATTTAACCTTTATTCATGCCGCCCAATACTGAAAATTTTAAATTTGGATGGGGTTGTGTTTTCACATTTATGTTGGGGGGTCAAATTTTTGGCTTCTATGCTATCGCCCTCCCCCTTCTGTACAGACAAAAGAACGTTGGTGTGGCCTATCATTCGCATATACATGTATACAGTGAGAAATAAGTATAAATTAATGGGCTAAGTGTTACTGTCTCACTAAGATAGCCCTTGACTAATAGAGGGAGCTTAGTTAGGCTCCATGCACACATAGCATTTGCGGTTTACGGGCATCACAAAAACATGCAAATTTGAATATATACGCCCGGATTTCGCACGTCTGCGGCTACTACTATAGCCATGGAGGCATCTGCTGTCACTTCAGGCACCCACCCAATTTTAGGGGTATTGTCCGGTTAGGAGTGCAATGAGTTACATTTAAAGTTTGTACTACTATAGCCGTAACGCGCGGGATTCGCCCAAAATGACACGCTTGGACTTTTTTGCATGTTGTGCGTTATTGCACTGCACAGATGTCACACAGGTGTGAACCAGATACATTGGAATATATTAGGTTTTTATGTTTAGCGCGTTCCTGTTTGAACTGAGCCTTATGTGTGTTGGAAAGAGATGATGAGAGCTGGAAACCACAGGGATGCTATAAATTTGCAGTGTAATATATCCTTGTATGTCTCCAATTTAAAAGAAATGATGATAAATAGTACAGATATATTATCAGTATTGGGTTCTGTCACTGGAACGTCACTCTTTCATATTAACATGAACTCTCATCCCTATTCCTTACTTTATATCCTCACCTTGACTGTAACAGTAGCTTGCACTTCTGTTCCCATGGTATATTTTGGGATGGGATCCCAACAGGTGTTTGTGTTTTTCCTAACATGTTCAGACTGAAGACAAAGACTGAGCAACTGTCATTTTCTGCAGACAAAGACTCTCCTGGTGTCAGTTTCTCATTAGCTGTGAAGTAAAGAAAACGTCAGATCGGAGAACATGAACCACACGCTGGAATATGGAAGCATCTCCACCCAGTTGTTTGCTCCTGTTTGTTAAAGGTAAAATATACTGGGGGGAATTCATCAAAACTGGAGCAGACAATATCTGGAGTAGCTGTGAATGGCAACCAATCAGCTTCTCTCTTCGGTTTGTTCAGTTAAGATTTAAAAATGAGACAGGGAAGCTGATTGGTTGCCGTGCACAGCTGCTCCAGATTTTCTCTGCTCCAGATTTTCTCTGCTCCAGTTTTGATAGATTCCCCTCAGAGTATTGTCAGTGAACTCCTAGATTTGTCAATGTAGTGTTTACTAAAAATAATTTATAATGTGACTTTTATATTTTTACTTGCTAGCGCTTCCATTTCTTTGTATTAAATAAAGAGATTTCTGGATTTGCCACTAGAGGAAGCAAACACTCAATTTGCAACCACTCTGCCACATATCTTAACAAACAGCTGCGATAACATATGTGACCTACATGGAATGTATTGTTTTACATATATGGAATGCACATGTGAAAGGGGTCAATCACATGAGTCTCATGAATTCCTCTGTGAGACTCATGTGATCTGCTGCAGGCAGGAGGTGCTGTATAATCTAATGACAGCTGCCACCTCCCACAGTTCGACAACCGCACTTGAACGATAACCGGACGACCACACTTAGGGCCTGTTCACACGGCGTCCGTATTCTGTGCTGACCTGATCCGTGCGCTCCTGCACTAAATATGCATCCTAATGTATCACTATGTGTTTTATGGGCTACAGTTCTCACGTGCGCAGTCCGTTCCGTTCCTGACTGAAAAAATACTGCGTGTCACATTTTGTCCGGTCAGGAAACGCCGAACGTGTCAAAAACGGAACGCAATGCAGCTAAGCAAAATGTTTTTTATTTTTGCTCCACTTTTTATGATGTCATCATCGTTGGACATCCTGGTTGTGGTGGAGCATCAGAGGGAAAACCAGCAGTCATGACTGCAGGTAGAACTGCCAGCATCCAGATCAAAAACGCACTGCATGAGTAGCACCGCGCCTGCTAATCCGGACCTGAAAATCATGTGAACAGGCCCTTAGATGCAAACTGTTTGCATCCAGGTGCGTTTGTCCGCAGGTAATCGCAGGTTGTGTGATTACTTGCGGGCAGCCTGCAAACAACTGCAGGCAGTGGCAGCTGTCACTGAATTGTGCAGATTGCAAATGGGGCCTTAATTATAGATTTCCATTGAGCTAAACAGGATCAGAGTGCTACCAATGTGTAGCAGGAACCTCTGTAGTGATAAAATATGGTCTGCAAGTGATCTGCCTGTACTCATTTTGCATCAGCACTTTGGGCAGACACTTTTTTTCTCTTCATCTATGTCATTCAGAACCCTTCATATTTCTGGGGAGAATGGTCACTGAATGATCACAGAGATTATGTTGTTAAAAAGGAAACTTCTAGTTCTTGCAGGTGTCCATTATAGCATTATAGCATCCCTAAATGAGATGTTGGCTTAGTGATGACACAGTTATGTCAGTCCTGGTGCCTGTGTTACCTGATGTCTTTTTAGATAATTTCCTTGCTGCTTTCACATCAAAACTTTTTACACAGTTACATAATTTAAGTTTGAATTATCACTAGTAACCAACAGTGTGAGCAAATGCTTCCTACAGCTTGCAGCAAATTGTATATTATAATACATAATTTTTCCCAGAATGCTCCTCTTAGGCTTAGGCACACTTACTCGACTTGACTTATGGAATGATTTAAAAAACTAAAAGGTACAGCTCTTTTTCACTTTTGTTTTGTTGCTATACTTTGTGACATGTCAGAAATGCATTCCTGCAGACTTGCAAAGTCACAGATATTTGCACTTTCAAGTCACAAATGATACTGAAAATGGCCACAAGTTGAAGAACTCAAATCTTGTGAGAGTGGGCTCCTCAACTGTGTTTTTCAGAATATAGCTGGAGGTTAATGCCGTGCAAATAAAGCCACCTTCATTGTAGCAACAAAGGATGCATGTTGGCTTTGAGTGATTAATTAATCAGCAGCCTCGCATGTGCAGAACGACCTCAGCTGGTAATTCATGAATTTCCAAAGAATCTTGGAGTATTTCTATATGCCCATGTGCATGGGTCCTTAGGCTCTTTGTGTATGTGGAGTAAGACTTTACCTGTGCTGCAGTTGGAAAACACAAAAGAGACAGGGCAAGTTCTGGAATTTGGCCTACATCCATGCCTTTAAGCAGTATTAGTGGTCATGTTGAGGGATGCCCTTTTCAAAATCTGCATCCGCTATTCGGTTGCAAATGTATGCAATCAAATGACAAATGCAGAGTTTGACCTGTTTTTTCTGCAGTTCAAAGCACCTCAATAGAACACGCAGTTCACATGTGAGATCAGAGGCTGAAGTACACATAGGAGCGGTACACATTGTAGTTCAGAATCTGCGTTTGATCCGCTTTGCATTGCGTGGTGCTTCTTTGGTCATAGAATGTCCTACTGAGGTGTGTTGGAACTGCAACAAAGTAGGTCAAACGCAGTCTTCTCTTGTCAAATTTTTCCTTTCAAACGCAGCTGTAAGCATTGTATGGGAAACGCAGTGCTTGACTAGGACACCCGTTGACATGAACCCTTACTGTGTAGCATCTCATAAAATCTTCCATTGTGTCAGAAAGTGGTATAATTTATGCAGTGGTAGAAAACATTAATTTGCCTTTTAACCCCTTCCCGACCGATGATGGGATTATTCTGTCACGGTCTTTCAGTTCCTTAACAACCGGTGACAGAATAATCCACTCATGCGGTAAAATGAGTGCTGGTCCATGCATGGACCAGCGCTCATTGAGTCAATGCTGCTGATGGGGCCCTCTGAGGCAGACCCTCAACAGCAATTCAGGTGGACCCAGCACTATAATCACAGTGAGAGGTAATCACTGTGATCACCATGCTGCGACAGCCACTGAGCCGGCTTTCAGCTCACTGTGTTGCGGAGCTGGAATCCGGCTTAGTGTATTACAAAGTGATATAAAGTATCTCTGAGAAAACAATATCTCCTCAGAATACTTAGTATCAAAAGCCACTGTAAATTAAAAAATGTTAACCCTTGAGTGCCTCCTAGTTGTAAAAAAAAATGTTAACAGTTTTTAAAAAATTTTAAAATTTGACAAAATTTTAAAAAAGTTTTAAAAAAAGTCAAATTTAAAAAGATATATATGGTTAATAAAAAGATTATATATATGGTTAATAAAAAAATTTAAGAAAATACAGAGCCAAGGAGGCTATTAAATATATTTCACTCCTTGTATTTTGTGAGCTATAATTCCCAAAATAAACTGAAATCCCAGGCATATGATATATAAATCAGGACAAATAAAATAATTTATTATGAATTACGTTCTGTTAGCTAAACTAATTATGTACACATTACTATTGCCAAAACTGTGAACAATGTGTTTTTTTAAACTTTTTTGCATTTTTTATGAAAAAATACGAGTTTATAAATGCATATGTCACATCAAATTTAAGCCCATTTTGCCCTTTAAAAAACGGTTTATAATATGTTTATAATCTGTTTATCCGCAATAAATGAGGAAGATGGAAACTATGGTTAAATAAATGCATAGCAAAAATGGCAAAATTGCTCCAGTCCCCAGGAACGAAATCATTTTCTGAAGCTGTGTCACAAAGGGGTTAAAGAGGAACTAAATGTTTTTAGATGACTTAAGTTTAAAGATTTTTTAAATGCATGTTTTATTCATTTTTTTTTACTATACTGTATGTATATATTCTTTTTTCACAAATAAACCTTTAACACATCCTTGACACTGGTATCACAAAGTGTTATGGGTTTTTAAAAGAAAGAACACAGCATAAGCTGTTTGCCTCATGTCTCTCTATTTCTATTTCATGTCTCTCTATTTCTATTTCATGTCTCTCTATTTCTCTCAGTTCGTAGGGGGAAGATTCACTACTCTGTGCTGGGAAACTTTTTGCTGTTAGATTCACTACTCTGACTCATTCAGTTGTGGATGTAGATATAACTATGACATATTTGTGTGTAATATTTTATATTTACCAGACTAAAAATGTATATATTTTTAAAAAAATGATTAATTAACCCCAAACATAAGAAAGAAAAGATACAAATAACACTAGGCATGCTCTAATTTGATAATTTTTTTTCTACAGATACAGTAAGCCTCTTTGTCCTGGTATGCATATCATTCAGGAAAATGAACTTTGTTGAAAAACTCCGTTTATCCTGCAATTTTACTTTCAATGCTTTAAAAAGTATAGAAAGCAGTGAGTTACTTTGCATAGAAAACACATAATCATACTTTTTCAAACTTACTAATAAATGGTTAAACATTTGATTTGCTAAAGTAGATGTGAACCGTAATTAAATCATATTTAGCTCAGTTATCAAACAATTATTGCTTTCACCTTCATTTTATCCTTTGCTGCATGAGACTGCAGCCTCATACTGCCAATTCCTGTCATGTTTTTCTCAGACAGGTTATCTGATGGTGACAACAGAGGACTATGCTTCCAGAATGTGTGTTGAAATGGCCACTTTTAGTTTCCATTGGAAGCCTGTGTAACAGGGTTACAACAAAGAAGTAAAACTCAGAGACTGTCACCCTGTCACCGTATAATCACCTGGTACTATTTTAATAAAAGCTGCAGATTCAAAATGACTTTTGAAGTTACATTAATGCGCTAAAGCTTATATGAAAATGTAATGTCTAGGTTTATGTATATAAATACAATGTTTTTAAAATAGCACAATGTGCTTCAACATTAATATGTATGACACGTGTATGTGATATATATGATTTACCTTTAAGAAAAAGACATAGATTATCTGCATCAAGAGCATAAACTGGCTGCCAAGGATTTGCCAACAGATAAGTTGATGGCAGACCAAACTGGCAAACTGGCTCACACTTGGCAACATTGAAAAGTTCCACTGTACCATTCCGATAATGTAAGAGCACCTAGAATACAGTAATGTTAATACATGTCAGTAAGCATGTCAGTAAGCATGGTCAAATATCATTAAAATTATATTAAAGTCAAAATGTTAAGCTATTTCAAATGCTGTTAAAATGACTTACAATGGATGCTGCTTATTGATGTTTAAATGTTTTAGTTTCCTGCAGAATCAGCTGGTCCTCTAAGCACGGTCCCTGATATCCAGTTTTAGGATGGCTCCTTACCCTTGCAGGGTCCTATGGGGACATCCTTGAGTGCTATTGAGCTGTATATGTCTCCAAAAACACACAGGAACAGCAAGACAAGTCACTCCCCTGCTCCCTGCTCCCACTTCCCATCTCCAAGCTAGTAGATGAACAGTTGTTGGAGTATGTTCTGTCCCTTGTGATGTTGTACTGTACAGGAAGTTGAGGGAAGCTGAGCTAAGAGAGTTGGAACTAGCTGTTCAGAAACATGATGACTGTAATTCCTTGGGCAAAGTATAAAGAAATACTTTGCTGGCAAATGTATATTTGTTTAATTTTTATTCATTATGGAAAAAAAATGTAAGAATGTATGGAAACTTGAGCAGGCAAAATCTGGAGCTGTTGCCCATGGCAACCAATCAGCTTCTATTTTTAATTTTCAAAGCTTAACTGAAAAAACTAAATATAGAAGCTGATTGACTAATATGGGCAACTGCTCCAGATTCTGCCTGCTCCAATTTTGATAAAATCCCCCCGTAGATTTTAATAGTAGTTTAATTCATTGCAATCACAATATATACAGACATTCAGACTTCTCATATACAGAAAATAGGTGGCAATCGTCTTGGATTTATGCTTGACAAAAATATATATATATTTTTTTTTTCAGACATATTAATTCACTACAAAATGTATATCTAGTATAACAAATAACTCCATTCATGCTTATAAACTGATTAGATGTTCACAGCTATCAATCAAATGTTTGTTTTAATGTACAGTAAATCTAAAGCCAAAAACTACTTACCGAAAAATCAGTTTCATGGAGTTTATTATTAAAAACATGGGATTCAATTATCAAGAAACAACTGGTTTGTATTGGACACTGGCAAGCAGAAAAAGCTGTTACCAACCAGGTATAATCCCTCCCATTCCCATAATGCTTCAGTTTTGTAGAAAATTAGTAGTAGGAGCAGATAAAAACAACAGATTGGTCAGACCTCTGTCTCTTAATGACCTCAAAGAAACAGATTGTACAGCAAGTACAAAAATCCTGTTATTCAGAGACAATTGGGACATTGAAAGCAGTCCAACTGTTTTGACTGTGGGCAGAGGGGTGGGCAAAAAAAAAAAACACATATAGGCCCACACATCAAAACAGTAAAAACTAGGTGCAGCTTGCAGCTCAAAAACTTCCTGAAGGACCTTACATCCAAATCTGGCACCAGATGAAGTGTGAACTCCCACCTTAGAGAATGTATGAACAGAAGACAAGGTGCCAACCTTGCAAGTCTGGGAAATAGTTCCCTGATTCCAAAACATCAAAAAAGCACTCACAGATCTAGTAGAGTGTGCTTTGACAGGAAAAGGTGGAACCTTGTTCTTAATAACATACTGTAAGCTTGAACAATATTTTGTCTGAGCAACCAAGAAATGATGGAGTGAGAAGCTAGTTCCCCTTTACAGTGACCTCCAGGAATGATAAAAAGAAAGACAGTCTTTCTAATAGAAGCAGAAGCACAACAAAAAACTACATACAGGCAGCGAAGAATAACTTCCTTCTGATGTACCGGAGCGGTACAGAGAGATGGAAGAACAATGACCTGGTTGAGGTGACAGGCTAAAACCAATCTAGGAAAGAAAGATGCTCTAGGCCTCTAATATCACATGATCCTTGTGTAGGACCAAATAGGGTTCTTTACAGGACAAGGCTGCAAGTTCACACACATCTCGCAAAGGTGATGGCAACAAGTAATGCAACCTTGTGAGTGAGAGTGAAAAAAGGAATATCCCTAATAAGTTCAATAGGTGGTCCTTGAAATGCTAACAGAACCAAATTTAAATGCCACAGAGACTCAGAAGGTTGTGCGCAAGGGCCCGCATGAGAAACACCCTGTACAAATGTCTAATCTAATGAATGGGAGGCTAGTGGCCTTTGGAATAAGGTAGCAAGGGCTCACTTGGTGACGAGGGAGCAAGGAGCCAGCTTCCCGGCCAATCAGGAAGCCGGGCAGCGTGCAATGACTCGCTTCCTGATTGGTCGGGAAGATAGCCAATAAGGAAGCCGGATGGCGAGTCATTACCCGCTCCCTGGCTTCCTGTTTGGCCAGAAAGCCGGCTCCATGCTTCCTCATCACCTGGTGACGAGGAAGCATGGAGACGGCTTCCCTGCTAATTGGGGAAGCCGGGTGGTGAGTCTTTACATGCTGCCCAGCTAATCAGGAAGCCAGGTTGGCTTCCTTAATGGGATTTTGGTATCGTCATTCGGTGACTAGCGGAAAAAAATATTGGTGCTTGTACTCAATACCAGTGCATCCCTAATATTAATTAATCAATTAATTAATCAATAATTTGTGAGACTCCTTGTCAAACAGAGCATCAGCAACAGAAGGCTCAGAGGCCACTAAAAGTGCATTTGTGCCTGGCACAGATTCTAGAGGAGAAGGCATAGAAGTACGCTTATGACCTCTGCATTCCGAGGATATGCCAATCCAGATAGCTGCAGAAAAAATCCGGCATGTAGATAAAGTCATGATTGAAGAAAAAAAGAGAGAATGACTAGTAAAAACTTTTCTCAATAGAAAAAGTCCATCCTTCTAGGAAGCATTATGTGAGTGTCAGGGGCTATTCCTGGCTGGTCAACACCCAGTGTCCAATTCTTCCTGCAGGCAGCAGTATAACCCAACTGTCTCTGAATAACTGAGTCCTGTGTCCCTTAATGAACAGAATAAACTTTTTTAAAATTTTAGATAGAAAAGGTAATATTTTAAACCCGTCAGGTTTTTTTTTCTTTTGTCTTCTGTGTCCCATTGGGGAGATCTTCCTTCATTTCCTGTCCTGAACAACAGGAAATAAGGGGAAATTGCTCAAAGTGAATGGAAGTGCCCTCTTAGATAGCTGTCACTGGAACAACTGTGCCTTTTGGAAGGTTTTCCACTACCCCTAATTCAAAACTAAAACAACTACAAAAAAAATTGGCTTTTACTGTCCTAATCTAATGTGCCCTACACATTACAGCTGGGATGACACTGGTTCCTGTGGTTAATGCATATATACTTTTAAAGGAAGTTCAATGTCAAACAATTTCACACTCAAAATACTGATTTGAGATTTAAAAAAAAAGTCTGGACCAGTTAGGAAATGATAGAATTATAGGAATAAACATGAACTTGGAGAACAGCTAAACACTGGTACACGGAGTGGTGTCAAATGAATGAACATTGCTCGTACATTGCATTAGGTTATTCTTTAAGAAGAGTATTTATTCATTTACATGTATATAAAATATTTCTCACCATATTTGGAAAGGAGTGGATGGGAGTTACTGCGCTGATCTGGTCATCTGAGGAGCAAGTACTTGGGAAAATAATAGAGATAAAACGTTTTAATCTGGCAGTAGATGTATAGCAACTCTGTCACCTGTAAAGCTTTTAGATTTGGCATGATTATCAGTCAAGCAAGCTATTCAACTAAAAATCTTCTGTGATTGTTTGCTGAATCCTGCAGTCATTGGCATCTACCTATCCCTTATTTAGTTATACTGAGCTTGCCAATGTGTTGTCCTCATTATCTGTAACTGTGCAGGACTGCAGCATTTTGCTTGTTTTACTATCTGCAACTAATATTTATTCAAAAGTAGCAACTTACATAAAAGACTAGAAAACTACGGCCGGCCGGACAAATAGATAAAAACTCTCAAAAACAGCGTCTAAAACATCCCATGCGTCAAACAGACCTGTTTGACGCATGGGATCACCTGACACATGGGATCACCTGACTTTTTCAAGTCAAAAGGGCCGATCGGTTTGACGCATGGGATGTTTTAGACGCTGTTTTTGAGAGTTTTTATCTATTTGTCCAGCGGGCGGAAGTTTTCTAATCTTTTATGTAAGTTGCTACTTTTGAATAAATATTACTGCTTGTCGTACTGCACCTTGAGGGTTGTCTCTTTTCTTCCAAATTAATAAAAACGCTTCTGGGATTCTGAGAGGAAGACCGCTGAACAGGGCACGGGAGAAGCCGTTAATAGCTCTGAAGGACAGCTGAGAAAAGGTGCGGCGCTGCGGGAGAGAGACGTCCCTTGATGCCCGGTTTCTGTAGGGGGAGAGTGACGTCCTCCTTGTGAGGGGACTATGGACCAGATAAATATCCTTTCTGAGGGGCTATATTTACTCACTGAATCTGTTGAGTACCCAACGCTTGGGGGGCTGCTGGATCAAAAGGAAAATAACAGAAAGAACTTTTTCTTTTTATAAGTCTGTTTATTGAACACTGTTATTTTTTCACTGATATCTGTTACTTCACTTTGGGATTGTTATTAACTATCAGGTTATAACCGACACAATAGTTTTTGTTTGCTACTTTGTGATTCACCCTTCCAGAATTGTTTTTCACAAGCTATAATCGCTTGGTTCATTTTTTTCACTGTCAACTTTTGATGTTAGCACACTTTTTAGTTTTCTCATCATAAAGTTTGAATCTAAGCACATTTATCACATCTATTATATATATTGATAATATATATATTTCATTCACCAATTTTTATATTTATCAATATATTCATTATTTATATTCATCACCAAAACCATCAATATTGTTTCCTACCCACTTTCCACATTAGACCATCACTATTTGATGTATATTTATATATATATATTTTTTTTTGTTTGTTTTGTTGTGTCTGTTGTTCACCTTTAGCACTGTGTCACTTTTTATTTGATTTTCTTTTGTTTAACCCTTTCCCTGCCAGCGCCATAAGGCATACGGCGGAAGAAAACTGTTCCCAGCTGACCAGGTCAGTATGCCTTACGGCACTGGCATTTACAGTTCTGCTATAAGCTCATGGTCGCCTTAGCGACCATGAACTTATAGCAGAACTGTTCAGCAGACGGTTCTCGTTACATTAATAGCTGTCATCAGCGGCTGACAAGACAAGGCTAAAATTTCGGGCGCTCCACCCCAGCCGGCACCGCTGCCGATGGCCGCCAGCATTTTCAGCCGCTCCGGCCAGGGATCTTTGTCGCCATGGATCCCCGCTGCTCTCCCCCGATTGTAGGGGCTGAGGCAGCAGAGGATCGATAAATATCAGTGATATTTACCGTCCGTTTGAAGAACAAACACCGGAGTGATCGTCTGATCACTCCAGTATTTGTAACTAACTGGGGACACATAGTACTATGTGTCCCCAGTATGAATGAACAGGATGTGATTTACATCACTTCCTGTTCATTCATGAATTTCTGAATGGGGAGTAGCACTCAGTACAGAGGCTCGTTCCCATTCAGAAACTGCTTAATAGTAAATATTTTACTATCAGCAGTTTCTGAATGAATGGGAAGCCTCTGTACTGAGTGCTTCCCATTCATTTAGTGCTGGGCCATGTAAACAATATAATTAATAAAAAAATCTGTAAAAAAAAAATTAAGTAATAAAAAAAACACAAACCCCCCTCCCCCTACACACATAACATACACGTGCACCATATGGTGCTGTACGTCATGCACATGCGCTGCAATTTGTTGTTAGAACGCATCACAGTGCATGAGTTTTGTCCTTTTTTTTCTTTTAAAAAAACATTAATTTAACTGTGGCAGCGCATTTGCAAAGGTTTTTGACGTATTGCCTTGTGTTGTAATTAAATATACGCCGGTATCATTTTATCACAACACAAACACCAACACACAAAAACAATTTTTAACATAAATCGCTTATTTACAGTTTTGCGTTCCTTCATTTTTTTTACCTATTCGCAAAAAAGCGCAATTTCAAATGCCAAAATATTTGTTATTTATTAACTCAATACAGTTTTATCTTTTAGCTTTAGTCAGAAAATATTTTTTTTGTGCACTGATACTGATTTTAGGGCTTTATTAATTGAATTGTGTATTTTTATCGGTATATTATTCATTTGAGAAACATTTGCGCAATTATCGCATGGCCTACAAATTTAGTAGCCCCATCTTTTTATTCTGCTGGGCCTGCGTTTTCAGAAAATATATGGTTTGGAGGGGGGGGGGGGGGGGGTCTTCTACAAACGCTAGCAACACAGCAGTTGAAAATCAAATCAATGTGAAAAATTGCAAAAATGGTGTGGCCAGCTGAGGTGCAAAATGTTCCAGAGGTCATGCAGTGGTCTCACCTTTCTTGAAGTAGAACCATGCTGAGTTCCCTGCCCCCTGCTGCAGTGACGAGGTATAGAGATTTATCAGTACACAGCACCAAGAGTTGGGCTCTAGGGGCAGCAGGAGGGTCCTTACTGGAAGCATTGTCTTCTAAGTAATACAGACTACCTATATGCCGTCCCTCTGGGAAGGCAACAACAGCTAAAGGAAAACCTGTGAAACAAGAATTTGCCAAATAAGTAAACAAGTCAAATCAGTTAAAGCAACCAATTTGCTGCAAACAACAAACCAGACATATACAAGTAAAACTCCTACCAGAGTACTTCATGTCCCACACTGCAAGTGTTTCATTTTCAAGAGCTAGTGCTAGGTATGACGTGCAAGAGCTGACTGCTGAGAATTTAATAGGAGCAGCACACGGCCACACAATATCAGCTTTTTGGTCAACATCTAAAAGGAAAAAAGCAATGGTTAGCAAAAATGACAATTAATTAAATGGATTGATGGGACTAAGTGAAATGCATACATTTGAAATGATTAGGAAAGAGCAAAGGTGTGCAGCTTATCGTGAGCAGAGACGTTCAACCTGATTTTGACTGGTTGACAATAATGTCTACAATTTTAAATCTGGATAAGGGCTGTAGTTTCCTAGTAAACCAATGTCTCTCTCTTCTTGCCTGTGTAAGTGTAAAGGGCAGAAATGACTTTTCTCTGTGGACTTTCCAGGCTTACTTTTAACTACATAGTGCAGAGTTGATCTACCCAGGTGTTCTATAAGGAACAGCCACTGCTTGCTTGAGCTATGAGGTGTCGGTTGAGATCATACATGAATGTCCCCCTTGGAGGATTGTTCTGAAGCTGCTCCAGGCATGTCCATGTAGGTGGGAACCCCATGGCATTCTACAAGTTGTCAGGGAAATTTTGAATGCTAGCTAACTTTTAAGCCTCTCTTACATAAAGCAGAAGTTTAATTTTCTTATATTTTGCATTCCCTGGTACCTCCTTCCCCCTTTCATCAACATTCTAATGACATTTTAAAATATAATATCAGATATCATTTTTCAGACCCAATGATGATTTCACTGGGTCTTAGTGCTTCTCTGTAATGCAGGCAAGTCATGGCTGGTAGGTAGGAAGGGGCAAGCAGATTCCTATACATAGCTTCCTGAAAACATTACAGCACCCTGCCTTTACCCCTCACTCCTGATACAAGCAGTAGGTTGGCACCTGGGAGGAGTTATGCAAATATTTTAAATGCCTTGATGGGTGGATGTCAGTATGGACGAGGGGGCATAACTAGGTAGGCTGTATTTGTATGCAGACAGCCCTCGGTAACATCTGTGTTAATCTTTAAAAGAGAACTGTGTGAAATACACTCATCCCAATAGTTAGAGCCAATGTGTGCCACTGCAGCTGCCACACGTCAGCTCTATTGAGTGAGAACTGAGCGATCACAAACAGCTGATCTCTCAGTTCACAAACTTTTTCCTGCAGAGAACGGTGACTGTCAGTTACCGACCCCTGCAGGGTTTCCCCCCTCCCCTTTCTCTGTTCCTCCAGTGCTTGCTGGAGGGACAGACAGGGAAGGGAGGGGGAAAACAAAGCTGTCAATCAGGCAGGGGGTGGATCCCGACAATTCTTCCCGGCTGCAACGCAGCTCTACACTGTCAGCATATGGCGAGCATTAACCTGGTATATGCTGAGATTTGGGTCACAGGAGATTAGTAAATGTCCTGTGACCCTAAAGAGAACTACGGACAAAAAAGCAGTGGTCCCAACATGCTAGGAGGCCAGGCAGTTTCTTCTACAGTGGTAAAATGAAGCTGACGGTGTGTCATGGCAAGACAAATAGTCTAAGAAAAGAAAGCTGCAGGATGAAATACATTTTTAACAGTTTCAATCTCTTCCTGCAGAATATTTACAAAAAAAAAACAGAGAAAAGAAAGCTTGAGATTAGATGTAGAGTAATAAATCCCATCCTGGCTTGGAGATGTTGGTGAAAGATAAAGGCCAGGACCTCAGGGAGTGCAAATCAATGGAAGAAAGGCTGAAATATCCAAGTGACACATGAAAGATAGGACCATTGCTAACAGACAGCTATTTTATTTATAAGTGAATTACGCTCACATGGTAACAGCGGATGATTGCTCTCAAATGTATTGCTGCTGCCATTTTCACAGCACACTGACTAGTCCTTTACCCCCCAAGCTTTGATTCACACGCTATTTAAGTGTTAGTGTGGGAACACAAGAACACAAATAGCTGTTTATAGGCCACAGTGAAAGATAGCAATCTCCTACAAATAAATGCTTTTCAGTTATGATTCCTTTTTAATCATTTGTTATTCTAAAATGTTTTCTCATAGCAGAAGTAACATCTGACCCTTCTTCAACTTCCTTGGATATTGTTTTCAAAAGAAGTAGCACAGCACAGAACCAAGCATATTACAACTGGAATATGTTCTACACACTTTATTTCTACAACTCTTTGTGTGTTTCCAGTGTTATCGTTAAACATTTTCATTCAACGGGTACTCCATATATCTTTTCTCTTTCTGTATCACATTAAGCCTCGTATAACTCTAGCAAACAATATCACCCAGATTGCAAAGACAACTCTAAAATGATTACTCCCAGCTCGCTATTTCAAAATGCTCTATAAATCAACCATTGAAAGAATAAGTGCAGGTTTGATTAAAAAAAAACCCCATAAATATACTCCCTACTGGCTTGCATGATCTTTTTTGAGTAAAAAAAATAAATATATATCTTCTAAAGCAGAAGCCACTGCGCACCACCCGGCAAATCAGCAATCAGGATTCTACAGAAATTGCAAGATGTCCTGTTTAGTGCCGAGCCCGCCAGGAAGCTGACAGCGCCGGAGTGCCAACCACAGGCACGGAGACATTTCCCGATCTCTGCAGCTGCGGACCGGGATAATGTCTCAGCACCTGTGATTGTCAGCTTCCTTGCGGGCTTGGCACCTGGAGCTGCGCACACGCCCGAGCCCATCACTAGTCCTGTTCAGCTAGGTGCATGCACCCAGCAGCCCAATAGGCAGTAATTCATTTCTACCCCCTACCTAAACTCACAGCCTATGGGGTTATAGAGTGCATTCATTTCTGTCAGATAATGCACCACTTTGCGCAGAAAATTGTTGCAATTACAAATGTTTAGGCATTCTCATGTTTTCTTCTTTTGTTTATATTGATATGACACAAAAGAGTGGAGAAATAAAAAGTCAAATCTGACACATCCCACGCAAAACTCTAAAAATGGACTGAACAAAATTACTGGCACCCTCAATTAATATTTGGTAGCACAGCCCTTACAAAAAATAAATGAAATCAGTCGCTTCCTGTAACCATTGTGACAGGAGGCAGGTGAAATCACCTGGGTGTATCCAGAATGGCATATATTTGTGTCCCAGGTTCAGGATGTATGCAGATTTCTTTCCACTAGAGCAGGGGTAGGAAACCTTGGCTCTCCAGCTGTGCTGAAACTACAAATCCTATAAGGCATTGCAAGCCACAGGCATGACACCCAGAGGCAGAAGCATTATGGGATTTGTAGTTTCAGCACAGCTGGAGAGCCAAGGTTGCCTACCCCTGCACTAGAGGGAGTACTGGGAGAGGTAATGAGCCCAGCTGAAGGAAGCTGGCTCATTAGGGCCTCTATAAGAACTCCCAGACTGCTCAGAGAATGGCTCCCTCCTGGAACCAGTTTCATGCCTGAAGAGACTGGGGGAGCTTCCTGCTAACCTGTGTGGTGAAAAAAGGGAAAACAAATCTCGTGTGGTGAGACACAGCCTGTGTGGCAGTTGATGGAATAGGGAGATAGGTGCTAGGGGCAGCACAAGGTTGCACCTAGTGGGTAGCGAGGGATACTGTGTGTATAGTAAGTGGCCAATAGGCCAGGCTTTATTTTCATGTTTTGTTTGTTTTGCTCAACTTTTCTTGTAGATAGTTATGAATAAACTGCACGTTTGTTTCAACCGAAGCAATCCTTGTTTGCGGTGCCTAATTTTTGTGGTGTGAACCCATGCAAGGGGGTCCCACACACCCGCTGCCGATCTAACACTCTTACACCATCAATGAGTTTCTTACACATCTGTACAGGAATTTTAGACCACTCTTCTTTCGCCATCTGCTCCAGGTCTGTCAGATTGGAAGGGTTCCTTTTCCCAAATGCTGTTTTGTGATCTCTCCACTGGTGCTCTATGGGTTTCAGATCTGGACTCATTTCTGGCCATTCCAGTACCCCCTAGCGATTTGTGTGAAACCATTTATGGGTGCTTTTTAATGTGTGCTTTGGGTCATTGTCCTGCAGTAAGACTCATGACCTCCTGACGGTGAACCCACTTTCTGACACTGGACCCTACATTGCACCCCAGAATTCTTTGGTAGTCTTCAGATTTAATAATGCCATGCACACAGTCGAGACATCCAGCGCCCGAAGCAGCAAAGCAACCCTAAAACATCAGTGCACCTCCACCATGTTTGACTGTACGGACTGTATTTTTTTCTATAAAGGCCTAATTTCTTTTTTTGAAAACAGTAGAATGATGGGCTGCACCAAAAAGCTGTCATTTTGCTTTGTCTGTCAAAAGCACATTCTCCCAAAAGGATTTTGGCCTACTCAGGTAAGTTTTAGCAAACTCCAATCTGGCTTTTTTATGTTTCTGTGTCAGCAGTGGGGTCCTCCTGGGTCTCCTACCATCAGGACCTGATTTACCCTCCCTGCCGCCCCAAGGCCGGGCCTCGGTGGCCTTGCCGGGAATCCGGCCCTGCCTACCATAGCGTCCCTCTTCATTCAGATGGCGACATATAGTGCGAGCTGACACAGTTGTACCCTGCGCCCGAAGGCCAGTTTGAATTTGTCTGGAAGTTGATTGAGGGTCTTTATCCACCATTCGAACAATCCTTTGTTGCGATATTTGATCAATTGTTCTCTTATTCCACATCCAGGGAGATTGGCTACAGTGCCATGGGCTGTAAACTTCTTGACAATGTTGCGCATAGTGGACACAGGAACATTAAGATTTCTGGAGATGCACTTGTAACCTTGAGATGCTTTTCCACAAAATCTTTGAATGCAATTATTTCTTGCAATTTGGAGAAGGTGCCAATAATTCTGTCCAGTCCACTTTTGGAGTTTTGCGTGGAATGTGTCAGGTTTGGCTTTTTACTAGTCTTGTATGCATAGATATACTTTAATAACTATATCCTTTCTGATCTAAAACAACACCTTACTGTGTTTTTTTTACAGCATTATTGGAGCATTTTCAAAACTCCAGGCAAGGTCTGCAAGCAAGCAAACAGTTCTTATTGCTATTTCCATGTATTCTTCCTATTGGTATAGTCTACGTATATCCAGGGCTGCCTGCCTGCCTTCACCATATTTTGTATAATCTGTTTTATTAGATTTAACAATTTACAATTAGAAAAAAAA